TCAAATATCAAAATTTCTATATTTTACAGTTTGCAAAATTTGGAAATAAATAAAATACAAAGGTTTGTATGGTGTCTTTTAGGTGTAATACAGAATTTGTCTTGGACATTATGAGCGTCAAATATCAAAATTTCTACATTTTACATTGTACAAAAATTGGAAATTATCAACTCTCAAGGTTTGTATAGTGTCTTTTTGGTATAATAGAGAATTCATTATCAGTAGTTGAGCAAAGTCCCTTTTATAAAATTGATGAAAATATCTTTAGGAATTAGTAAAATTACTTATGGTCCTTATAACCATTCTATGTAACTTATGTTCATAATTCACGACTCTGTAAACTTTTTGTTTCTTTTTCTTTGCCACCTGGATTCAATTCATAGCAATTTTATACGGTTTTGTGGCTCAAATCACAAATCTCTTTCGCGTCAAAGAACAGCGCACCGATTCGCCATAAAACGCCATTGGACACTGCATACAGTAATCTGCCTTGTTTGGCATAATGTAGGAAACCAACACAACAAACAACGAGCCGCAAAACCATATAAAATGGCCATAAGTTGAGCCCAGGTTACACAGAAAAAGCAGCAACAAACCCAAGTCTACATTAGTGAAATTTATGTCTACATATATGCCTATATTTCTACGTTTTAACAACTACATTGAATTTCTCATACAAAGTCTATAAACCTGGTAATATACTGACCGATATCAAATCGCGCGGTAATTTATGCAGCGAGCTTGGTCCCCTGTGGTTATTAATTTTTTTGCAAAAAATGACTATTAGTACGCAACATATGCTTTAGTCTCGTTTCTAGCCAACCTGTTAGCCCTCATGTGCGAGATTCTCGGTTCTAACAGGTAAAACGATTCCAAAAACATTTACAAATTGTTAGGTTTTACCAAAATGTATGCCTTTTTCGTTGAAATGATTGGAGTACTCGACTGTGAGACACGTGAGGAACCCACGTTTAATAGTGAGTGCAATTTGTCACCCATTATATTAACACGTACTCAAACGTACCAATCGCACGCCTTATCATTTTCTTTTTTAATGGCGATATGTTTGTTTATAGCTTAAATCAAAGCCCACTTGATCTTCATATTAAGTTAAACTCCCGCAATAACCTATCATGACTTTGGGGAGTATTAGTGTAACCATCACAACAACAAAATTAATTACGAAGAACGAGCAA